TGGGCTGTTCAGGAATAGTCACCTACCCTGGCACTGGGTCCTCCATGGCTGCAGATCCACATCTGTGGGTTACAGGTCCACATTCACCTCTCCTGGTGGCTTCAAGGAAATGTTCCACCACATTCCTCCATGAGTGCAGGGGCACAGCTGCCATCTCGCCATGGGCTGCAGGGAAACTTCTGCTCAGGCACCTCCTTCCCCTTCTTCCTCACCAACCTCAGGTTCTCCACTCCAGCACTGCTCTCACCTCTCCAGCACTGCTCTCACCTCTCCAGCTCAGCTCTTCTCCTTTGCTCTCTCACAGGTCTTTCTTATGTTAATCACAGAGGTGCATCTATTGTCTCTCCTACCAGGAGTAGTCAGTATGGATTTACCAAGAGGAAATCATGTTTGACTAACCTGATAGCCTTCTATGATGATGTGACTGAATGGATGTAGTCTACCTGAAGGGTGGGTGTCAAGAAGGAGGAGCCAGCCTCTTTTCAGTGGTGCCCTGTGGTAGGACATGGGGCAGTGAATGCAAACTAGAACACAGGAAGTTCTACCTCAATGTGAGGAACAACTTCTTTAAGGTTGACAGAGCACTGGAACAGGCTGCTGAGAGAGGTTGTGGAGTCTCTTTCTCTGGAGACTTTCAAGACCCGTCTGAATGAGTTTCTGTGTGACCTACCCTAGGTGGTTCTGCTCTGGCAGAGGGGTTGGACTCGATGGTCTCCCGAGGTCCCTTCCAACCCCTACCGTTCTGTGATTCTAGTGGCTTGGTCTTGGCCATCTGAACCAGGGGAGCTTCTAGTAGCTTCTTAAAGGAGCCACCCCTGGGGCCCCTACCTGCTACCAAACCCATGCCAGAACCAAACCAGCACATAACTTTAATTCAGTCTTGCATGGAAACCAAGTATCCTAGTGTTAAGAATCAAATAATGTGTGTGGTAATGTTTGCAAATGTGAGCATTTTTGTATAACACAGGAATATACTTTCTTTGTTTCTCTATTTAGTCAGCTTCTACTCTTCAGACCACCCACACTGAAGATGCAGAAATGAAAGATGAGCAGAATGGAGTTGAAGATAAATTGGAAGTTGACACAGAAGCATAAAAGCAAACCCTGTTCCGTTAGTTTTCTAAAGGAAAGAATTTCCAGTGAATTAGACCTTTATTTTTCTACCTGGTTGGACAGTGGCTTCAGGGGAGCAGAGGCTGAAGCCACCATGCCACAGTCAGTTACAGCTTTATTTGTCTGTTGAAGAAGTGGCAGCATAAATCCGGTTTAATCCTAGGGACTTTATTTATTCATTCAGCCTCTGTCACTGTTTGGGTTTTGTCTGGATTTACTTGGTTTATTTGCATTTTGCTGTTGGTGTTTGTCTCTTTCTGGTTCCAGCTCATTTTAATCCCAGGTTCAGCTTCCTAAATTTATTTGCTTGATTTCTTCCAAGTAATCAGCCTTTTCTGGGAGTCCTCACAGGAGGCTCGAGAACAAATAGGCATTCCCAGTTCTTCTGCCTTTGCATTGCCCCCTTCTTCCCTGTTTTTAGCAGGGAGTCTCTTCCATTAAGTGTTCTAACCTTTCTTGTATGCCTCTCTGCAAATTGCTGAAGGTGAAGACTGTAAAGTCACAGCTTAAGTAATAAAGCTCCTATTAAACTCAAGAAGACAACTTTTGGTGCGTTTTTATTGGATTTTGCACTGAATTAAGATAATTTACTGTCATTTGGTCATTTTGTGTTTTCTCATCTACATAGCTGTACATTAACTACAGTATCTGATTATTTTTGTTCATTCATGGCCATAGAAAATTCCCACAGTAATAGAGTATTGACCCATATATTTGCAAAAGGAAAAATGATGTTGCTGAAAATTGTACAAAAAGCAAGCCTGTGACCTATACATAGAGCTTATTTTCTGTTCATACTGCATTCACCCTCCATATTGTGTAAGTGAACCAGAAGAAAACCTGTATCTATACCTGAAGGTGATTGGCTTTGAAGAGAAAGTAATAATGGCTTAACACGTTACAAATACTTCTCATTTCTAATGGACTACAAACTTCAGAGTGATTATAATGTCTGCTTATCCCCATCTCATAGGAAAGCTATTCTTTTATATTCTGATTGTTTCTGCAGTATGTTATTTGTTGTCTTCAGGGGTGGGTGAGCTTTTGGGTTTTGTGTGGGCTTTTTGTTGGGGTGTTCAAGCTCATCTCCTCTATTTATCCTTTTACATAGTGTTAAACTTGGCATCTCCACTGTCCTGAGACCCTCTTAACACCAGGAACACTTTTTTTTGCCTGCTCTGCAGGAAGAATCTAGAAAATCTGTTCCTTTCAGATGTAAATGTGGATATTTTTGCACTGAGAAAGATACCCTTCTGTGGGATGAGCTGGAATTGTATGTGTATTTGCTTAGCAAAATCTTAGCATTGCCATGTAATACAGGTGCTCTTCATATGAAGGGTTCCAAGTCTCAGTAACAGCAGCCCTGTGCGTGTGAGTGGAAACTGAGCTTTCACCAAAGCACACCTACCTCTGATGTTACAGACAGGTTACAACAAGGCGTGCAGAGTGCCTGTCAACTGAAGTTACACGGGGATTTCCGATGAAGAAAGGGAAGCAGGAAT